ACACTGAACTTATCTAGAGAAACTGCAAAGGGGCGCCTGGGTGGCTTAGTCGGTTAAGCCTCCGACTTTCGCTTAGGTCATGATCTCGCGGTTCGTGGGTTCGAGCCCCGCGTCGGGCTCTGTGCTGACTGCCAGCTCAGAGCCTGGAGCCTGTTTCAGAGTCTGTGACTCCCTCTCTCTCTGACCCTCCCCTGCTCACGCTGTCTCTCTCTCTCCTCGAAATAAATAAAAATATTAAAAAAAAAAGTTTTAAATAAAAAAAAGAAACTGCAAAATAGTATTTTTTAGGTAATTAGGGAAGTCTGAATGTGAAGTAGGTATGAGATAATATCAAGAAAGTATTAATTTGGGGCGCCTGGCTGGCTCAGTTAGTTAGTAGGGCGTGCAACTCTTGATCTTAGGGGCATGAGTTCAAGCCCCACGTTGGGGGTACATATTAGTTAAAAATAAAAGAGGGGTATCTGGGTGTCTCTGCTGGTTGAGCATCTGACTTTTGATTTTGGCCCAGGTCATGATCCCAGGGTCGTGAGATGGAGCCCCGAGTCAGGCTCCAGGCTGAGCATGGAGCCTGCTTATGATTCTCTACCACCCCCTCTCTCTGCCCCTCTCTCCCGCTCATGCTCTTTTTCTCTCTCTCAAAGTAAATAAATAAGCATTAAAGAAAAAGAAATTGTTGGGGCACCTAGGTGGTTCAGTTGGTTAAGTAACCGACTTCAGCTCAGGTCATGATCTCAAGGTTCATAAGTTTGAATCCTGGGTTGTGCTCTGTGCTGACAGCTCAGAGCCTGGAGCCTGCTTCAGATTCTGTGCCTTGGTCTCTCTCTGCCCCTCCCCTGCTCACACTCTCTCTCAAAAATAAATAAACACTGGGGCCCCTGGGTGGCTCAGTCAGCTAAACGTCCGACTTCAGCTCAGGTCATGATCTCACGGTTCGTGGGTTTGAGCCCTGCATCAGGCTCTGTGCTGACAGCTAGCTCGGAGCCTGCTTCTGATTCTGTGTCTCCCTCTCAATCTGACCCTCCCCTGCTCAAGCTGCCTCTCTCTCTCTCTCTCAGAAATAAATAAAAATATTTTAAAAATAAATAAATAAACATTAAAAGAAAAACTTATTAATTTTTTAAGTATGATAATGGCATGGGTTTTCGAGAAAATATTCCCATTCCTAGAATGCATACGGAAACATAGAGGGGTGAGGTGGCATGATGTCTGAGATCTGCTTTAAAATATTTCAGAAAAGGGGCACCTGGGTGGCTCAGTTGGTTAGGTGTCTGACGTGAGCTCAGGTCGTGATATTACTGTTTGTGAGTTTGAGCCCCGCATCAGGCTCTGTGCTGACAGTGCAGAGCCTGCTTCAGTTCCTCTGTCACCCTCCCTCTCTGACCCTCCCCTGCCTGCACTGGAGTGCACACTCTCTAAAAAAGAAACATTTAAAATAAAAGAAAATGTTGTTCCAAAATGGCAGCCTCCAGCCGCGCACAAGTGTTAGATCTGTACCGGGCGATGCTGAGAGAAAGCAAGCATTTCAGTGCCTACAATTACAGAACTTATGCTGTCAGGAGGATAAGAGATGCCTTCAGAGAAAATCAGAATGTAAAGGATCCTGTAGAAATTCAAACCTTAGTGAATAAAGCCAAAAGAGACCTTGAGATAATTCGTCGACAGGTCCACATTGGCCAACTGTATTCAACCGACAAGCTTAACATTGAGAATCAAGAGAAGCCTAGGGAGCGGGGACCAGCCATCCCCGGCAGCTGTGGACCCCACCTTCAGCATCCATTCTGTGCTTGGGATTTGGGTTCCCAACAGACCACAAGTGGCCTCTTTCTAACAGCAGCTTAAAATAGCCTCTTGCTCTGCCCCACATGTAAGGAGCTGATAAACTGAGTCCGGTTTCCATTCTTCTTCTTCTTTTTTTAAAAAATATTTTTATTTATTTCTAGGAGAGAGAGAGAGAGAGACAGCGTGAGTAGGGGAGGGTCAGAGAGAGAGGGAGACACAGACTCTGAAATAGGCTCCAGGCTCTGAGCTGGCAGTCAGCACAGGGCCTGACGTGGGGCTCGAACCCACAAACCGCGAGATCATGACCTAAGTGAAAGTCGGACGCTTAACCGACTAAGCCACCCAGGCGCCCCCGGTTTCCATTCTTCTTCAGCCTTAGTGAAAAAGGATGGCTGTCTCCTTGGTTCAAGTGTTCGAATGAAGAGCTGGAGCTCACTCCCAATACCGCTGTGTATTATTGTGTCTCCTCTGCACCCACCCCTCTTGTAACTCATCCTCGCTTGTATAGAGCACCTCCACACTTTGTTTCTTGGTTGACAATAAACAGAATTGTCTGCCTAAGTCACCTGACACCAGAATGAATGAATGAATGAATGAATGAATGAATGAATAAATAAATAAAATGTTTCAGAAAAGAGATAAAGCAAGATTGGCAAAATCTCTCTAACAGTGGAATCTGGGTGACAAGGATTGGGGGTTCCTTAAGGCCCTCGGTGGCTGCCCCCTGCCGCCAGAACAGAGGTATAGTTCTCTAGCTTGGCACTTGCTCCCACCCGTGTGCCCACACATGAAGCGCTCGAGCACTAACCAGAGGCCCTTGCAGAATCCTGCCTCTGGGCCTTTGCACCTGGTAGTTTCTCTCTGGAGATGCATTTCCTCTTCCAAAGTGGCTCAAGTGCCTGTTGTCCCGGGATGCCTCCCACACCTCTGCAGCCCAGGAGGCCTCTCCTTGGACCTGTTCTTTGCGTCACACACGTTCACCTTTGTCACAAGCTACCTTGTGTCACAAGTTGCAGTTCTCCAAAAATGCAAGTCTTCTTCCCTAAGAGTGACTTAAGGGCAGGGGCTGTTTCTCAGGCATTTCGATTATCGTTTTGCTTCTTACTTTCCCCATAGCCCAGCTCTCCAAGCCCTTTTGTCTCAGCTCTTGGTAACTAAGAGCCAGCTTAGCAATAATTCCTCTCATCACGGAGGGCTCAGCGTAAACCTCGCCTCCTCTAAGAGCCTTCCCTGACCACCCATTAATGTCACCCGCCACTGCCCGTGCTCACCCTCTCCGTGACATTTATCACTACTTGTGACAGTGCTAGAAGTTATTTCTGTGTTTGGTTATTCTCCACTCCCTCGCTCTGAACAAGGGAAAGACCTGGTTTTTCTAGGTCACCCCTGTATCCCGAGTGCTGAGCAAAGGCCCAGGACAAGGTCAGGAGCTCACTCAGTATGTATTGAGTGAATTTACTAGTTGTCCCAACCAGACTGCAGGCTTCCAGAGGGCATCATTGTTCAGTTACTTTCTGGAGAGAACCAGCACATGGCAATTGTTAAATAACTATTCACTGATATTATGTGGGAGAAAAAGCCCTCTACTTTTTCTCAGGTCAGGGTCAGGGGATCAGGGTCTGGTTCAACTTGGACTTTGGGTGGTAATATGTCTTCTCTTGGCCTTCCTTCAAGGGGCTTGGGCTTGGATTTCCGGGGCAATCCATGCACCTGCTTTAGGATTTGATGAATGAGTGGCCAACATATGCAATGCTCAGAGCTGTCCTGGGGTAGGTATGAGTCATGGCTTGACAGCAATATGCCACCCACTCCACCCTCCCTTCCTGCATCCCTATAGTGTTAGTTGCCTCACCAGCACCTGGTGTCCCTCAGGTCCAACACCGGAGTCATTATCCTCCGCTGTGCAAATCTACCTTTCTGGTATTCTTCTGAAGGCAGTACTGCCCACCCAGGCTCCCGGGCCAGAAACCTGGGTGGTTTCTTCCTGTTTCTCTCTCACCCTCTCAGCCAATTAGTCAACAAGACTTGCCAATATTACTTCTTGAGCTGCTTCCCTCCACTGCCCTTTCCCATCATTGTCCTAGTCCATCTTCACCTGGACTTGTGCAGAGGCCTCCTTACTGGTCTCCCTGCTTCTGCTCTGGCCCCCGCCATCCCCTCTCCACCCAACCCTCAGAGTAAGCCTCCAAACACCAAACCTGCTTAAAACACTTAAACGGCCCCAGCCCCCTTAGGATGGACTCCAGACACTTTATCATCACCTGCCAGAAATTGCATTATCTGCCCCCCAACCCTCTCCCCACTCTGCCTGGTAAACTCTCCCTTGGCTAGCCCTCTGTAGATCTCAGCTTAGAACTTCCTCTTCCAGGGAGTGCCTGGTTGGCTCAGTCCACAGAGCATGTGACTCTTGATCTCAGGGTCTTGAGTTTGAGCCCCACGTTGAGTGTGAAGATTACTTTAAAAAAGAATCTTAAAAAGAAAAAATAAAATAAAAAAGACCCTCTTCTTCCAGGAAAGTTTTGAGGACTGTATCTCCAGTGTATTCCCATCAAGCCCGTGTTTCACTATTCAGGGGCCTTTTCTCCTATCTGCCTTGTTCATTCCCTCAAAACACCGGCACAGGTTTTGGTACATAGCAGGTACTTTGCAAACACTTATTGGATGAATGACTTCACACTATGACCGCTAGGTGAAAATCTCCATCACATGCTCGCTATGGACTTGAACAAGTCATTCATTCATTCATTCATTTTTGAGCAAGTCTTTAAATCTCCGCCTCTTCCTCCTCACCTGTAAATGCGGACAGTAATGATAACTTTTTCTGGTAGAGTTGTTGTGGAGTCAAGCGCTTAGAAGAGCACCTGCACGTAAATTTGGCTATTTTAAATATTTTCTTGGCACAACCGTTTCCTTGATCTCAACCCACCCTACCGAGGGGAGCCAGGCGAACTGGTGCAAAACAGGCACACCTAGGTCCCCACGCGACACCTTGACGTCTGCTCCGCCTACTGTCTTGGGCGCACGGCGGGGAGGTCTTGACCCCCGCTGGAGACCCACCTAGGACGACGAAGCGGACGCGGACGCCACCGCCCATTTAAGGATGGAGGGGGCGGGCCCGAGAAGGCTCCGCCTTCGCGCTGAGGTCAGCGCGCACAGCTGCGTGTGACGCTCCGGTTGCCGCAGAGACGCCCCGCCCCCGCGCGGCGCTGCGGAACCGGAGCTCCGGGCGGCGTCGGCAGCGGCGCGGGTGGCGGCAAGGCCGGGGCGGCAGGAGCCGGCGCGGCGACCGCAGCGAGAGCGGCGGGGACGGAGCAGACCACGACGAAGGCGCACAGGCAGCAGGGCCGGGCCGGGCCACGGGGACAGCGGCCGCCGGGAAGCGGGCGGGAGGCCGGGCGGGCAGCTGGGAGCTGCGGAGCGACATGGTGCTGCTCAAGGAGTAGTGAGTGTCCGGCGCGCCGCGCCGTGCGGAAGCGGGGAGGAAGGGAAAGTCGGGGATGACGACCAGGGAGCCTGATGGCTTGGCGGAGTGGATGCAGCAGCCGGACAGGGATGGGGAGCAATGGATGGGCTGTTGGGCGGCCCAGCAGGGACTGGGAGGACCGTGAGGGCCGGACAGGCCCTGAGGTGGGGCCTCAACGGGGATAGAGAGATACGGACAGCTCATGAGGTGAGGCCTGAGGGACAGTGAGGGCCGAATAGGCCTGGGAGGAGAAGCCAAAGGGACAATGAGGGCTGGACAGGGCCTGAGATGGGGTCAAGGGGACAGGGAGAGCCAGCAGGGCATGAGGAGGGGCCTGAGGGGATGGAGATGCGTGGTGGCCCTACAGTGGGGGCAGAGGGACGAAGGGGCCCGCCAGAACTACAGGGGTGGCCTCGGGGGCTGGCGGGAGAAGGAGGAGTAGGCTTCGGGGGCTGAGAACAGTTAAGGCAGCTTCAGGAAAGGAGCTGAGACGGTGCAGAGGAGCGTGAGGGGGCCTGGAGTATGAGGAGGGGCTGCCTTGGGCATCAGGAGGATTGTAAGAAAGTGCACACAGGACAAGGTGCAGGGGGTCAGGGCCAGGCTTGGGTGAGAGAGGAAGGGTCTAAGAAGATTGCAGAGGACACTGGTGGCGTGACATGGTCCCTAAGTGGTAGGTGCAGAGGGGGAGGTACTTGGAAAGAAGCTTAGAATGTTTGCTTGGGACTTGGGGAGGGAATCCAGAAAATTTGGGGAGGAGCTGATTTTCGGGAGTTACAGTGCTGGAGAGGGCTGGGATGTTAGCAGGGCTGAAGACACTGTGGAGAGAGAGTAGGTTTGTGACTGTGATAAATAAACGTACTGGAGTGGGAGTTGGGGGGCAGGGGCAGCCTGTCTCTAGGGCAATCTCAGTCTTGGTGCAAAGAGATAGGGAAATTGCTTTGAGGAATTGAGGAGGCTCCCAAAAAGCCATTACCTGAGGAAAGACAATGAAGGGTGAGGGAGTTCTCGAGTAGTGACTGGGGTGGGAAACTGGTGACTTCTGGCAGGTGTTGCAGGCACATAGGCTTGCTCCTGAAATCCAGGGGACTGGGTGACAGGTGGGGATGTGTAGATTGCTAAATCTTTCAAACACTAGATGATGACCTGTCACTGAAGCTCAATGGTTCCAACTAAACATTTCAGGACTTTTTTTCCCCCCCAGAGAGGAGAGATTGAATGAGTATGTGCAGAATTTACAGTGAAACTGTTCTTCCCTGGAGAGGAGGGCGGGTGGGCAGCGGTGGGTCAGAAAGCCCAGGAAGTCCAGAAGGAGGAGACGTCCCTATAGGGAGCAACTGGTGGGACTCAGCTGGTAGTCGGGCAGGTGTGCAGAGGGCTGTTTCCATTCTGTCATTGAAGGCACTTTGCCCCATCCCATATGGCTCGGTCCTTGGAGGTGTTTAGGACATTTAGGACTTAGTGTGGTGCTTTGGATAACAAAGGGAGCAGAGACCCAAGCTGTCATCCCAGCTGGACGCCTCCTCTGAACAGCATTTTTTGGAGCCCCTCCACCTCTGGTTCTTGAATCCAGTGTGATGTTGATCCCGCCAGAGCTTGGAGCTTGGTATGGTGAGGACGGAGGACCCTGGGACACCAAAAGGAGGTGCACTTTGCCTTTAATCTTGACTGTCCAGAAAACAGCCTTTCCCAGCCTCCTGATCTTTTTATCTATTCCCAAGTGAATTCCAGAATCTGTAGAAAAACCTGGAGTTCTGTGAAGAAGGTCAGGCAGGGAAGGGACCTTCAGAAGATCTGAGTGAGTTTTGACGAAAGGGCCTTCTTTCCCAAGTCTTTGTTCTTCTACCCTTGAAGCCTACCAGGGAAAGGTCCAAGGTGCCGGGGCTGCAGAGCCTGCTTGGCATCCGCGTTTCCTTCCTGCCCGACCACACGCGCTCCAGCGGGTGTGTGCGTCCTGGGGCAGGGGCCGAGGAGGGGGGCATCCGAGACACTTGGCCGGGGCTGCAGTGCTGCAGGGAAGGGAAGGGTGGAAGTGAAGGTCACACTGAAGTGAGCACAGCTCCAGTCTCAGCCCAGCACTGCCCCTGTGGCCCTAGCCTTTGGAATTGCACCCTATTGCTGGCAAAGTGGTTTTGCTCTTGCGGAGCCTGGGTACGCAGCTGTCACGCTGTCACGCACGTAAGGCAACCTCTGAGCGTCCCATCGGGAGCTGCCTGATGCTGGTCTCCTTTTGGGGGAGCCTTGGTGCCCACCCAGGGTCTGGAGGTTTCCCTGGTGATTTCTCCGACACTTCCTCTAACAGGAATCGCCTCGATTTGATTTCTGCAAATTCTTGGATGTGGTTCTCACTGCCATTCTTGCAGATAAAAGGCATATTGTTTTCTAGGAAGTTTCTTCTGAAGGTGCAGAAATCGCGGCCTCCAAGTTGGAAGTGTTTTTCTGCACTGTTGGCTTTCTCTCATGGGAGGAGGGCATTCGTGGCAGCATCCAATAACCTGCAGGATTTGTGTTATTTGAGTCATTCTGGAGGAAGGGGGTTCGCAGGCAGTAAGCACTTGAAGCCCAGTTGGTTTTTCCTGCTACCCTTCTGCCCCGTGCCTTGCGTTAGGTGTGATGTTCTTCTCAGACCCCTGTGTGCCTCTTGCTACCTGGGGGACCTTTGTGGATTTAGAATTTAGTGAGCGGACCATTTGGTGGCCTGGAGCACAGCTCCCAATTGTCGGAACCACCGTAGGAAGGAGAACCTAGCAGCTCCTGCTTCAGCTAGCGTGCGAGGTGCAGGAGCCCCAGTGCGCTCCAGCTGCGGTTTGGGCACTGAGCTCAGGAGCGGGCTTCACTTGGAGGGATATAACCGAGTGTTTTGGTCAGAAGCTTAGAACTGGGGCTTGGCTGTTGCTCTGCCCCTGGCCCTCGTACCTCTGTGGAATGCCGACTGGTGTGGGACCTGGCCGGCCACGGCTGGTGGGTCATGGCTTATTGGTACTTCCGACAGTTAGTGGTCATTGAGATGGAGAAGAAGTAAAGGGAAACTGTCCATTGGGGTGTCTTTGGACAGCTCCTTGGGGGTTAGGACACGAGCTGAGTGTCCTCTCTTGGTGTCTTTGTGATAGTAGCTTGTATCGCAATATCCTGCCTCAGCAGAGATGGTTGGTGTGTGCCTGTGGGGTGGGGAAGCTTCGAAGGAGCTTGGCCCCTTCCCAGCCTTCCACCTTGAGGGCTCTTGTTAGGACATTGGGCCCCTAGAGCTGAAATCCCCAGGGCCTGAGTCTTCAGGTCTGACTCCTCATCGTGGCTTCAGAGTTTCCAGTGGGCTTGGGGGGGCGGTCCTCGTTTTGCTGGGAAAGATATTAGTGGGGGAGAGGGAGAAGAAGACAGCCTCAATGTGAGTCAGAGGCCTGCGAAGTAGCCGGTAGGGGACAGGCTTGCACTGAATCTCAGGTTCTAAATTGGGGCTGAAGGGCACAGATGATCCTGCCTCAGAGCACTTCAGGGGGCCATTCGCTGCTGGGGTTTCGACAGTGAGTATCAGCCACGTGCCACAGAATGTTTAGGACTGTGCTGAGATGATGCTGTAAGAGCCCTGGGTAGCATTCGGGCCTGAAGTTGATACTGTTTTCCCTCTCTTGTAGTCGAGTCATCCTGCCGGTGTCTGTAGATGAGGTAAGTTCTTTTATTTCCCTTTTTATTCATAGTTGTATATAATTGCTTGCGACCATTAGCTGCGTTGGGCTGCACGTTTATGTGGTTTTCATGGTTGTTCTAACTTGGAGATGCTCAGTACTCAATGATACTCAGTACTCGATGAGAATTTTCCCAACGCCACCTTTAGTCAAAGGAGGGCACCTAGCGTGTGTATCTGCAGCCTGCCTCAAGCTGCCAGCATGCTAGGTGACTTTGAACAGAGACTTTGGATAGAGGCTAAACCAGCCCCTTTTACCTGCTAAGACTGTGCCTGTTTGGGAACACTTTGTTGAGGGGATTGAGTGGGGGCGGGGGGATTTCTGGGCCCTCCGGGACCTGACTGGGAAGTGCGCACAGCCCTCTCTCTGGTTGTGCAACAGACCGGTAGGGCAGGAAATCTCCGAGGCCTCCCCGGCCATGCTCTAGGTGACTGCTGGGGTGATTGAGGCCCCGGGCCCTTTTCCGGAGATCGAGGAATGACACATGGGCTTGGCTTGCCCTCTGTCCTTTTATGGTTTTAGGCCTGATGTCCCTGAGGATGGCGCTCTGGCAGGACCTGCCCCAGGAAGGTTCAGAGGCCATGCTGACTCAGAGTCGTGTCTTGGACAGCAGAAAACTGTCATAGAGCCTCCCTTGTCCCACCCTTTCTTTGAACTTCCTCCACTCCCCTCTCCAGGTGCAGCCTGTTCTTTGCAGCCCCCAGCTTCTAGCCAGGCTCCAGTTTGGGTGAAGTGTGTCAGCCAGCGTGGTGCCCTCAGTCACTGTCTTTCCTGCAGTGTCAGCATGAAGCTCCTGTGATAACTTACACTCTGCTCCAAATATGAAATGGACCTTTGAAAAATGAAATCAGGCCGACAGAGCCTGCAGCACACTTTAGATGAGACAGATACCCAAGCTTCTTGAGCCCAGAGCGGGTGGGCAGGCCTTGGCCCCCTAGAGGATCGTCTCCAGTGGTGGGCTACGCATCTGATGAAAGCTGTGGAGACCTGGGGGTGAGAGTCGGAGGTGGGCCTCGAACATGCTTTGGGAGTTCTAGGAAGGGATTATGAGAGAAACCAGACGGGGGTGCAGGAGAAGGGGCATGGAAAGGGTAGATGCCGCTGTCCCTGGGGGCACCTGCCATGTACCTGGGGCCTGGGAACCATGTGCTGGGGCTGACAGGTGTTGCCTTGGAGGAGTTCCTGTCAACCCACCTCCTTGGGGGTCTTGCCGTCTTTGTGAAAAATAAAAGTGATGATTTTCCAAACCAGGAGGCCAAGCAGTAAGTCCCAGCATGTCCCTTGCCCTGAAACTCAGTTCTTGGGGTTCAGTAACTCACTCTCTGCTCTGCAGGATGATACCTCCCCCCAGTCCTGAAGATGTCCCCTGGGAACTCGGGAGTACCACAGTGTGGCATTTAGGGGCCAAATGGACCTTCTCACAGGGAGTATCCTTATGGCACAGGGACGGAAGCACTTGTGAGAAGTGTGGCCACCCCAGGAGAGCCAGCACCGTCCAGGAGCACCTGTTGGTGCCTTGCAGCAAGGCTGGAGATGGCTACGATGGGGCCAGGAGTGGAGGGGAAGAGGAACTCACCTTGAGATCATCTGCAATTGGCAGTTTTTAGCTTGTGATGGTTTTGGGTTTTTTTTTTCCCCAGCATTGGGGAAGTGGTGGGGCAGGGTGAACAGAGCCTAAAATCTAAGCAGAAGCTTGGGAAGTAAGTGCTGGTAAGGATCCATCTGTCTGCCAGGGAATGGTCAACCTGTTCTTGGCTAGAAACCACCGATGAGAAGGGAAGTGCCTGGCTTGGGTAGAGTGAAGCAGGTGCTGCTTCTCTAAGATTTTTTTGTTTTTAAGTAACCTCTGCAGCCCTGGTGTGGGTCTCGAACTTACAACCCCGAGGTCAGAAATCCCATGCTCCACCAACCGAGCCAGCCAGGTGCCCTAGAGCTGCTTTTTTGGTGGCTTAAACCTTAGTTCCAGAAGATCAGAAAACCTTGAATGGGGAAGCCAAAGAAGAAACGAGTAATGATCAACCTTTTCAGTCTTTATCAATAGCCCCATCATGACTCATGGTTCCCATGGGAACAGCCCAGCATCATCTGACTGTTGGATTCACTTCCCAATTGGAGGCCTTGACTTGAAACCCTTGTGGCTTTCTTTCTTTTTTTGTTTTGTAAGTTTATTTGTTTATATTAGTGATCTCTACCCAACCTGGGACTTAACCTCAAGACCTCAGGATCAAGAATTGCATGCTCTTGTGACTCTGCCAGCCAGGCACCCCTCCTCAGGGCCTTCTGATGTAGGTTGGGGAAGAGAGGAAGGAGAGAAGAAAAGGCCATGTCTTTATAACGATCCTTATGGTCTGAATCAATATTTTGGGGTGAAAGTCGCTTCTGTCTGGCCAGAGCCTTCGTCTGAACACTGCACGGGGTTTCTAGGCCTTCTGCACAGGAAGCCCTGGCTGTCTGACAAGGGCGTGTCCACCAGTTGTTCCTGGCTTAGATAGGCCCACGCTCTTCCCTGTGGGCAGGGCTGTCTTACTCCCCATTTCCAGAAACGCACAGTCCCATCCACCTGTGGTACCTGGCCTGACATGGTCACGTGGATGGGACCAACAGCTGTGCTGTTTCTCATGATGATGTTGCACGTCTGTGTCTCAGTGTGCCCCCCCACCCCCACTACCTCATCTTCCTGGGCTCCTGTTCCCAGGTCACCAAAGTGGTAGAGGGTATGTTTCTCAGCTGAGTGCTTTGGGACAAGGGCAGGCATCGTTGTCCCGGGCCTGAGGAGGCTGGAATCCTCAGATGGATAAGGGCTCTTTATCTGATTTCACAGTCTGACCGCCACACCCCCCCACACCCCCGTCTTAGTGTGGCTGCTTCCTGCTATCCTAGGGTGTGGAGCCACTTTGCCAAAGGGAGCCTCTGGCATGTCAAGTGTCCCTCACTTGTAGCTTCTGGAGGCCAGTCTTACTTAACCCCTTTGGATTAACAGAACGGCCTTCACTTGTCTCATTGGGATTACAGGATCAGAATATCAAGAGAGATTAAAGGGGGAAGATGCCAGCCCAACACACTGATCCTCTTAGAGCTTGCCCTCTGATTTCTGTATCTGATGAGGAACCAAATGAAGGGGATTAACCTCTGTGTGGGGGCCCCTCCCCAAGCAGCACCACCAGCCAGCAGCCCCGTCCCCCCCGACCAGGCCCTTTCTTCCGCCCGCCCTTCAGGATTGCTGAGTCAGTGGTTAGATGTTCTTATGACTCGTCTCTGAAACAATTACTGCTCCTTGTTAGGAACCCCTGTCTTTGCCAAACTGGGACCCACCCGACAGGGGTTTTCACCTTGCCTCAGCCAGGAGGCGGGGCTTGGAAAGGCACGGAGACAGCTTGGTGTCCCGTGGGGGCATCGAGGCAGCACTGATGTCGTTCAGGATTAGCAAGGTCAAGGTGACTGGCTCTCTCCCAGATGTTCCTCTCTGGGGGATTAACAGCCTTGATCGCTTGCCTGGGCCTTTCCTTGGCATTTTGTACTGGGTTTTCACTCTGGGAGTTGGAGCTCCAGCAGCGTGTCCTAGCCTGCTGCTTCTCCCCTCCGGCCGCTGCCCAGACATTTCCCTGCTGGGCTTTGCAAGCTGCCTGGTGACACAGGCTTACAGGTTTGAGGGGAAGTGGCCCGGAGGTTGCCTCTGCTCCTTGCTGTTGTACGCAGTGGTTTAAGCGGCAGCTGCTCAGAGAGGCAGCCTCTCTCTTAATCTTGATGGGAGGAAACCCCATGTCTGTCCCTCCTGGGCATACCGGGAGTTTGCGGAGGTGACGTAGAGGGTGAGGGCAACCTTTACACCCGCAGTGTGATCACGTACCTCTTTTTCGCATCCTCCCTAAATAGTTGTTCCTGGTGAAACTGGCAGGGAGAGGGAAAGTGCATCCTCTGGTACAGATGTAACTTCCTGCATTAACTGTTGCTGTTCACCCTTTTTGCCTTATTTTCCCCTCCAAACAGCTTCGCTCAGAGAGAGAGTTGCAGAAGGGCCAGAGTCACTGGCCGTAACACTGGGTTGTCCTGAGGGGGTCGGAGGACACCAGTGACCTTGACTGGTGGGTCCACAGGGTGGCAAGTGACCAAATAAAAGAAAACCAGGTTCTCGCCACCTAGTAAAGGTGCACACTGTGGGGTCAGAATCTCTGTTATCCAATTTTGGAAGCAGGGCACTTGCCCCCTCCCTGCCAGGAATCTGGAGAGCATCAGGAGGTTCGGTCGCCTGTAAGCTGTTCTCTGAGCTGCTGGCAGGGTGACGAGCTGCCCAACACCAGAGAAAAAACAGGTGGATGAGCCAGGTTACAGCAGAGGCTGTGGACCTCTCAGAGCACTGGGCAACTGTCTTTGACAACAAGTCATGTGTTAGGATCTGTTTGAATGAATAGGATGAAGAGATTCTAGCAGCTGACCCAGATCTTGTTTTAGGGTCTTCATACCGGAGGCAGGTTCAGGGAAGAAGGTACCTTGGACTCTATAATCTATTTTCTGGATAGTTGGTGTGAAGTTACGTATATTCACCTGGCTCCTTAAGCCTGGGTGGAAGATGTAAAAGAGGGAAGGATGAAGTGAAACACATTTGATACCTCAAGAGAGGCCATGGAGCCGCGTTCTTAGTTGCTATGGGTGGATTTGGGCAAGGTCCCAGTGGAACTGCAGAAAGAAATCCTGGATGTGGGGAATCGCAGAGTGATCTCATTGGACGGTTCCTGGCAGTGGGACCACGTGCGCGTGTCAAGAAGACCGCACTGACAATAAACCCTGTCCCTCTGTCCCTCTAGTACCAAGTAGGGCAGCTGTATTCTGTGGCCGAGGCCAGTAAAAATGAAACGGGTGGTGGTGAAGGCGTGGAGGTCCTGGTGAACGAGCCCTATGAGAAGGATGGCGAGAAAGGCCAGTACACACACAAGATCTACCACTTACAGAGGTATGTGGCCGAGCAGCAGGGCCGGGAGGCAGCCAGGGGGCGAGGCGGAGATGATGGGCCCCTGGGGGTGTTTCCAGATTCTCACTGGTTGCGCAGGTTGCTTCACCTGTGCGAGTGGGTATAAGGGACGCTTCTTTGCTCATTTAAAGGTTTTTTATTGATTTTTTATTTTTTGGAATTTTTTTTTTAACGAAGGTAATAACTTTCCTCACCAGACTCATGGTCCCTAGAGGTGGTAGTGTTTAGTTTCTTGGGGGCCGTTCCATTGTCTGTGAGTGTAGGGTGTGTGTGTGTGTGTGTGTGTGTGTGTGTGTGTATGTGTGTAGATGGGTGTTGCATTTCTTTCATTGTTCTCTCACATCCACGGGATCAAACTATACATACAGATCTGGACTTGGCTCCTTTGTTACTTGTCATATCATAGCCATTCTCGGCTGTCAGCATATTCTGCCCCATTCTTTTAGAGCGCGCAGTGCTACTTCGTACAGATATTCGGTAGCCTGCTTCACCAGTCCTCCCCCGATGGACAGATAGTCATCCTTACCAAATATTACACACCTCTTTTGCTGCACTCATGTGTGTAAATCTATAGTAGATGCTCCTAAAAGTGCAGTTGTGGGGCAGTAGTATTTTAAATTCTGATATTGTGAAATCGGTTACCAGAGAAATTTTAGCACCTTTTTGGATAGAAGGCATGAGTGTTTTATTTTTTTAATGCTTATTTATTTTTGAGAGAGACGGAGGGGCAGAGAGAGGGATACCCAGAATCCGAAGCAGGCTCCAGGCTCAGGGCTCTCCGCGTAGAGCCCAATGCAGGGCTCAAACTCAGGAACCACGAGATCATGACCTGAGCCAAAGTCAGACACTTAACTGACTGAGCCATCCAGGTGCCCCAAAGGCATGAATATTTATTTATTTATTTATTTATTTATTTATTTTTTAAATATTTTTATTTATTTCTATGAGAGAGAGAGAGACAGCGTGAGCAGGGGAGGGTCAAAGAGAGAGGGAGTCACAGACTGAAGCAGGCTCCAGGCTCTGAGCTGGCAGTCAGCACAGAGCCCGACGCGGGGCTCGAACCCACGAACCGCGAGATCATGACCTAAGCGAAAGTCGGACGCTTTACCGACTAAGCCACCCAGGCGCCCCAAAGGCATGAATATTTAAAAGTGAGCCTGAGGAGCGCCTGGACGACTCAGTTGGTTAAGCACCGGACTTAGCTCAGGTCATGATCTCATAGTTCTGTGGGTTTGAGCCCTGGGTCTGAATCAGTGCTGACAGCTCAGAGCCTGGAGCCTGTTGGATTCTGGGTCTCCTTCTCTCTCCCCCTCCCTAGCTCACATTCTGTCTCTCTCCCTGTCTCTCAAAAATAAATAAACAGTAAAAAATAAATAACAGTGACTCTTATGTGTATACCAAAATCCATAGCAAATCACATAGATTTGCTTAATCTCTAACCAAAACAGTCCTATTTCAGTAAACTCTAAGCTGACCCAAAGGGCACTCACTGAAAGCATTAGTAAACATACACCAGCTTGAATGGAAGTTGAATGAAGCTAGTTTTAGACACTCTGCAGTACTGGAAAAAATACACCTAATCTATGTTTTTTAACTGTGGTAAAATCTACAAAACCCAAAATTCACCATTTTTAAGTTCAGTGGCAGTAAGTGCGTTCACATTGCCGAGCAACATAAACCGGAGTCTTCATCTCCAGTCACTGAAGTGACTAGAAATGAAACCAATTTCATTTTCGTTTGGTAAAGTCCCTGACTGAATGTGGTCTGCTGCTCCGGAGATGTAAACGTGCTGGCCCGCAGGGGCCCAGGACTTTGCAAGTGCTGGAACCAGGAGGAGAGCAAGAACACTGTGAGGTGGGGAGATCTCACCACGACCCCATCTCCTGGCCCTTTTCCTCTGTCCTCCACGTCTCCTCTGCGTCTTCCTCTGTCCCTACTCGGAGTTGACTGCCGACCAATCCTTACTGAGCCCTTAGCCGTTGATTAGAATAAGGCTCAGGATGTGCCTTCCCCGTAGCGCATCTGTGGGGTTTTTTTTAAAAGAGGACATTGCAGGGACAGCGAGGTTGGGAGAAGGGGCCAGTTGGTTCCTTACGACTCAGTTGGGCCAACCGAGGTGTCAGAGGGATCTGTATATGTGGAGGGTGGGACTTGTCTCACCCTCTTCCTTAAAAGAGAGGGGGTAAACTCTGAGCTGCTACCACCACTCTTGACTTAACTTCAACTGCAAAACCCAGGTGGGAGCCAGCAGTCAGCACTGACCACCTTTCTCCACGAGGATCAAAGCCTTCCTGTCAGTCGTCTCATTGCCCCGGTCAGAAATGTGGGTTCCCTACTACCTTGTTTCTCGTCCCTCATATCAAATCAAGTCCTTTTGACTCCATCTCCTTAGTGCCTCCAGCATTTCCATCTCCTTCCATCATGTCTTGCCAGCCATCATCATGTCTTACCACAGCACCTCCTGACTCTTCTCCCTGCTTTCCGTTTCTCTGCACGGCTTCCAGTGTTCTGGCCAAAGATACATCTGTTGCTCCCCAGCTTAAAAGTTCTGGATGGGGACACCTGGGTGGCTCAGTCACTTGAGCGTCTGACTTTGGCTTAAGTCATGATCTCACACTTTGTGAGTTTGAGCCCCGCTTTGGACTCACTGCTATCAGCCTGTCAGTGCAGAGCCCACTTTGCATTCTCTTTCCCCCTCTCTCCGTTCCTCCCCTGCTTGCGTTCTCCCAAAACTAAGTAAATATTAAAAAAAAAAAAAAAAAAAAGGTTCTGGATAGCTTCCCTTCGTCCTAAAGTATAGATAAAGTCCATGCTCTTTGACGTAACTTACAATATCTTTTATGACCAGCCTCTGCAGGTTTTCTTTTTCTTTTTAAAAATTTTTTTAAATGTTTATTTATTTTTGAGAGAGACAGAGAGCGTGAGTTGGGGAAGGGTAGAGAGAGAGGGAGACACAGAATCCGAAGCAGGCTCCAGGCTCTGAGCTGTCATCACAGAACCCGACACGGGGCTTGAACTCACAAACTGTGAGATCATGACATGAGCCGAAGTTGGACACTTAACCGACTGAGCCACCCCATCGTGTTTTCTTGTATTCCTGCCTCATACCTTATACCAGCTACTCCACACTTCTCTTTCTTCTAGCTTTTCTAACCCCGCTTCCGACCTTTTATCTAGCTCAGTCCTACTCACGCTCCACTCTGTGTTCACGTAATTCTTATTTTCCTTGAAGAGCCTCCCCATGTACCATGCATCCCACATCATGTTCTCCCGAGCTCTGTCCCCCCGCCCAGAGCCCTGTGCTCACCCGCTCTGGCACACACGAACAGTGCCGTCCTCTGCCTGGTTTGTTAGACTCCCTGCTCGCACGTAGGCTCCATGAAATCAGGAGCCACGTCTGTGTGATTTCTGCACGTATCCCGGTGTGGGGCACACAGGACTATTTCCCTGAATGAGCGTGTCAGTGAGTGGTTGAATCTCAGAGTTGCCGGGGGCCTGAGTCAGCTGTCTGCTGGACTTAGCCCTTTTGTCTTAGGCCCAGGCACTAAAGCTGATGAGACTGTCAGAGCCTCTAAAGACTACATGGATTACCAGCTAAAAATGAAGGAAGAGGAATATATGCACCTTTAGAAGCAAACAAACAAACAAACAAACAAAATGGGCTCGTACCGTACATGCTGTTCTGTAACCTGAGATAAAATGAATTGATGAAATATTTTGTCCTGGGAGTCAGGTGGCCCTGAGGCCTTCCGGGCCTCTCAGAACTGATGACAGCAGATCGGATCATCTTGGATCCTATATCCCAAGTTCATCAGCCAGTCAGTCACTCTGGTGCATAAGCCCAGACTGGTGAACTCTTGGCTGTGTCCCATCCTCACAGGGTGTAGAGTAATGCCCTGGGCCTGGTGAGCTCAAAAAAAACCTGGGTAATGATAATGTAAGGATGGGCAAGCCATGGCAGGTGGCCCAGGGTCCCACCTCCTGTCCTGTTCTGATGGCCGGTGAGGTAGGTGGTGGAGCGAGTAGTGGGTAGAAGTTAGTAGCCAGCCTAGCTTGGGCGTCAGGCTCTGACAGGTGGCTTCTCACACTCAGGAGTGACCTGCTTATCTCATGGAAACTTGCTCGTCAACCCCGCTGAAAGCCGGGGCTGTGGCCTGAAGAACGTGATGTCAAAGCCCACTGTCTTCTCTCCTCTCTATTTGTCTTCACAATCCCTTTTTCTCACCACAGCAAAGTGCCCACGTTTGTTCGAATGCTAGCCCCAGAGGGAGCCCTGAATATACATGAAAAGGCATGGAATGCCTACCCTTACTGCAGAACTGGTGAGTGCAGACCTGGCCCGAAGCTGGGGTTTGAGCCCCAAGGCGGACCGAGGGTGTGGCCAAGTAGGCCCCGGGGTGGCAGTGAGGGGTCTTAGGGTTTGGGGTCTTACCTTCATTTTCCAGATTAAGCCAGTGATAGGATGAGCCTGGGGACTCCCCTCGGGCTGGCGGTGAGTGGCAGTGTCTCGTCTAGTACAGCTTGGCATCTGGCCGGGTGGGAAGCACCAAGGAGTCAGAGTCACAGCTGAGATGGAACAGAGCTGCCTGCCGTGGTTGGGAGGATATAATAATTATCGTTGTTTTTACTGATCACAGAAGTTATGTCCTTTGTTTAAATTGTGGAAAACACAAACAGAAGAAAATAATCACCCATGATTCTTCCATTCCTAGATAGTCATGTCAACATTTTAGTGCCTTTTTATCTAATCCTTTTTGTCTAATCCTTTTTTTCCCATGCTTACGAGTACCTCTCCAGACACGTTTCCAAGACAAATTTTAGATCAAACCATACTAATTGTTAAAATTGCTCATTTTCTACTCAGAATATTTTCCCTGTGTATTCTACTATTTTTTAAATTTGTAATGTCTGAATAATATTCCATTCTTCGAGGATAACTGTGATCTTTTTAAACCACTCCCTTATTATTAGACACTGAAATTTCCAGTTAAATGTGACGTATTTGGGTTTGGCTTGAAAAGCAGCTTTGAGGCTGAGGAGCTCTTGAGAGAGGCAGTCATAGGAAAGGACCTATAAGATGACCTTGCCCTGGAGGAGGGCCAAGCCTAGACACCAAGAAAACGTAAAAACAGAACCTTGATTTTGTTGGGGGAAAGTTGAAAATAAGCCCAAATTTTGATGACAAAGGATTCAGAAACAGCCATTTCCTAAACATATAACACATAGAATATGCATGCCCCATCTGGGGGGTGAGGAGGCAAGGAGGGAGGTGGCTACTGCTAGGAGCCCTGTATTCAAGGTATGAGTAGGGGTGGAATTATTGTCTTAATCTTGGCTGTCTGGGGTTTCTCTAAAGGGAAGACTTGAGCCTCCACAGAGAACTTTCTCTTCGAGACATTCTGGGATTCCCTTTGAGGGAATTTTAACAATTTTTTTTTTTAAATATTTTATTTATTTCTAGGAGAGAGAGAGACAGCGTGAGCAGGGGAGGGTCAGAGAGAGAGGGAGACACAGACTGAAACAGGCTCCAGGCTCTGAGCTGGCAGTCAGCACAGAGCCCGACGCGGGGCTCGAACCCACGAACCGCGAGATCATGACCTAAGCGAAAGTCAGACGCTTAACCGACTAAGCCACCCAGGCGCCCCGGAATTTTAACAATTTTAACAATTAGTATGTTTTTTAACAACTAATTTTAACAGTTAGTATGGTTTGATCTAAAATTTGTCTTGAAAATGTGTCTGGAGAGGTACTCGTAAGCATGGAAAAAAAAGGATTAGACAAAAAGGATTAGATAAAAAGGCACTGATTCTTAGCGGTTTAGGATTCTTAGGTCTTGAGGGCTGATTAGGAGTAGACTTCTTGGAAGACCCAAGCCAGTACTGATCTGTATCCTGGGGGCGCAGGGTGTCCTTAGAGATCCCCTGGAACTTGACCGTGAGTTGAGTGGCCTTTCCCCTGGCCTGCCTGCATTTGTTGGCGTAGACAGTCTGGGCGTGGGGCCCTCCTGCCAACCTCCGCTTACGTGTCCAGTTACACCTGTCTAATTCGTTGGGACCCGTCACTCCCTAGATCGTATCTGATGAGGATGCTCCACCCGTGGAGTCTTATCCTGTGGACTGTGGGAGAGGCTGAAGGCTAGAGCACAGAGTCATTGCTCTCCCCAACCTTCAGTGGCCCTACCGGGTTCAAGAACCTTGTTTCAGGACACGCACACTCTTCGGCAGAACCCGGAGTGTTTATTGCAGTAGTTGACAATGCAAATACCACTACTCCCTAAACAGCGCAGGGCAGGAAATTATTACCTTCTTGGGAAAGAGGCGCACTCATGTCTTTCTTTAAGGACAGTGTGCACCGTGGCTGGGTGTGTCTGACCTGGGGCCAAAGGTGAATTTTCTTTATGTCTGAGAGAATTGCTTTGAGCTTGCATCATAAGAACCTTAACCAACATGGCATAAAGGTGACACACTGTGTGGACTTTTCCATGCCTGGGTCAGTGTTCTGTGTACCCAGCTTCTGTTGACTGAGACACCTCTGTCCTCTGAGTAACTCTGGGGGGAGTCAGTGCTACAGCTGACACGGGCATTTTTCTAGATGCCAAGTGTCCATTCACATATTGTCCTGATCCTGAGCAAAAAAAAAAAAAGAAGAAAAATGTAATTTCTAAATACTCCGTGAAGAGAAGCGGGGAGTAAGGAGGGAAGGTGGTGTCCTCGGGGTGCGGGATTCACAGTTGGAGCCCTCCCTCGTACAGAACAAGTATGCTGAATCTTAGATCTGCGTAGTTAGATGTTATTTTTTGAAACTCAGAGACAGAAATAAGGAAGGCTCCAGGCCTCTGGTGGGAGAAAGATCAGGAGTTCAAACCCCTTAGCCTGGCCGAAGTAGATTCAAGTTTGAGGTGCGAATGGATAAAGGAGCATAGGGTGAAAGTCCAGGTATCTCTTAGAAGGCTCTACCCCTGCTCCAAGCGGAATGAAAACGGATTTGTAATGCTCCCTTTACTGTCCGCTCTTTCCGTCCTCTGACCTTATTTCTCTGTTTCTTTCCTCCTGATGCTGATGGGACGGGAGGAGGGTGTATGAAGGGGCTTGGCCTGTGATTGAAAGGAGGCAGAGGGAAACACATGTTTCTCCCCCTGCCGCTGCCTCTCACCTTAACCCAGCCTGAGTGCAGTGTCACTTAGCCATGGGTTTAAAGGACCTGATTGGTCGTCTTTGGAGAGCCGTTTCCTGAGACTTCCAGTATAGCGAGGCTTGCCGTTTGAAGAGACGGGGCTGCTCTGAATGCAGAGGTGTGTGGCGGGACAGGGAGGACTGGAGAAGACTGGAGGGGCTTGTTTGTCACCCTAGTTGACAGTAAAGGCCAGGGAGGGCCATCACCCTCAGAGGTTCAGAAACCTAGGTTGTCAGAACTGAGTGGATCCTTTTCTCACGGTCTCAGAAAGACTAACATATGAAAACCCCAAATGCTGGTATATTAAGTTGTACTGAAATACAGAATTATGGACGACACCGGCTATTCCTGTTTGCTGACTAGGGTGTCCTTTCTTGCAGACCCATCTACACGGGAGACCAAAGCATACTCAGAACGCTAACATGCAGTGGAGATAAATGTCCATTTGCTTAAGTGATCGGACTCTTGTGTCCATCGCTGAGCATATTCTGTCCCCACAGAGGCCAGGCTACTAAAACATTGCTTGCAGAACATGGATTCAGGATCAGGTGGTTAGCTGGAGAACCTTAATGGCTCGTGTCATCAAACTGGCCTCGGGTGACACTGCTGTCTCCACTGTGGACACAGGGCTGCTAGATGTGCCACACAGCAGCCCGCAGCTACCGCCACCGGCACAGCACGGGAGAGTTTCTGCCACTCGGGATATCACACCTATCATTTCCTTTTTTGTTAACTGATTTCCTTCGAGCTGATAACAGGGCAGTTACTTCAATAGGCCACAGGGTTATAATCTTAACTGGGTGCTTTCTTGCAAGTATCTTTCATTGGATTCAGGGAAATTACTAGTCGTCTCTTGTATTGTTTCTATACAAGGTGGCCCTTATCTGTTATATTTCAGCTCTTCCTTATCTTAATCTCAGGGGTGACCTTAGTTTCACTTTTGGAGTTAATGGTGCCTGACTGCTAGCCCCGTAAGCTGTCCATTGTGGCTGTGTGACATCCATCAGAACCTGAGAGAGCTAAATTCAGAGGGTACAGAGTGACCTGGGCTGTTGTGGGGATGAGAGCTAGCTTGTTCCTCGGCGACATTAGAGCTGCAGCCATTTTCTCTGATAAATAATTGATCCGTGCTCTCCAAGGGGTCTCATTACAATGAGCAGGAGCATAGAGGGCGCGAGGTCTGGTTACAGTGACAGGAAGCGTGCAGAAGGCCGGCAGACAGTGTCTGGCCGCAAGCGCCCTCTGTGCCCCAGGAGGCGGCGGGACAGCAGGGGACGCTCTGATGGCAGAGTGTTGGGTCTCAGTGCTTCGGCTCCACAGAGCCAGCCCCCTTTCCTTGCTCAGCTGGGAAGACTCAGTTCCGGAGTTGGTCTTTTGGGACTCTTGTATGAGTGAGGCGGGAGGCTCGGGACATTTGAGGTGCCAGATGCACTCACAGACGGGGCTTGAAGGCTGAGCGTGGAATAAGCCCCGGGGAGTGGAGAACTCTTTACCACCGTGGTCCCTGGGGGTGAGGGACAGATATTTATTGATCCTCATTAATCTTTGTCTCTCTTCTTTCCATGTCCTTGCCTTGGAACAGTTATTACGGTAAGAATTTGGTGGGGGGGGGGGTGGGGGATAGGAAAAGAGGAAATAAAAATTCACTACCCTGGAGGTTCCTGGGTATTCCTCTCTGTCAGGAAACATGGTTCTGTGGAGACTTAATCCTTTTCGCTCCTAATGAGGAGTTAGTTAATTGGCGAAGTGGCCTCTTACCATAAGCTGCGTTGGCATGTGGCTTTGTAGGTCCGGCATTTAGGACCACGGACCACGGGTGTCACGTGTGCAGTGTGACCCGAGGTGCTCTCCCACTCTCCCCACGTCATGCCGTCTCAGGCTACGAAACCTCGTTCGGCTGACTGTGTCTTTCCCACTGGCGCACCTGTGGACCCCAGGGAGCGCTGCCCTCTGGCAAAATTGTGAAGGCAGCGAGGTGTCTCTTCCACGTGCACCCCCTGTGTCATCACCCCTTCTTTTCACCCTTGGGCACCGCATCTAGGTGCCCATCCCTGCTGCTCAGTGGAGGTGGCTTCTGCTCACTTCCTGCCCCGAGGAGGTCGGAGTTAATGTGTGCCTCCTCCAGGGAGCACCACGTTTCAAGCAGCACCAGGGGAGGAAGCACCAAGGGTTCATTTGCTGAGAAGAGAACTTCGGGCCTCAGCAGTGGACTGGCTGGTGGAGGGGCGCTGGGGAACATTTGGTTGGCTAGGAATATTCCTTCTCACCTTAACCGTTAGCACCCTGTGCTTAAAGCAGGGTGACCAGTTGTTAAAGACATGCATTTTGAGGTCAGACCAATCTGGTTTTGAGGCCCAGCTCTGCCAGTGTCCCTGTGGCCTTGGACAAGTCACCTCCCCCCTTTGAACTTCACTTTCCTGTCTGTAAAATGAGGGTGAGGGCACTGCAGCCCTGGCCGGCTGGGATACGGATTGAACGAAATGATGCACCCCTAGTGTGCTGTGGGCTCCTGGGCAAGTTGGTGGTTACTGTAAGCAAGCTGGAGCCTCTCAGCCACCTGCGATCAGTCACGGAAGGTACTCTCCCGCTTCGAGGCTGGTGACCGTAAGGTGTTTTCCCCCTTCCAGAATGAATACATGAAAGAAGACTTTCTGATTAAAATTGAAACCTGGCACAAACCAGATCTTGGCACCCAGGAGAATGTAAGTAACACTTCCCAAGAGCCCAGGGACTTGCAGGCTGCGAGGGGGGTCTTGAGGCTCTGCCCAGAAGCCTCTCCTTCGCTGCTTTCCCTGGGGTCCCGTTTCCTGGCCGTGAAGGCAACAGCCTTCGCCTAGACCTCTCCTACCAGCATGGGATTGCTCTGTCTAATTTGTAAAATATGGTCTCCAAGACTCCTGTTTTCTTTCTTTCTCTCTCTCTCTCTCTTTTTTTAATGTTTTATTTTTTTTGAGAGAGAGGGAGACAGAGACAGAGCACAAGTGGGGGAGGCACAGAGGGAGAAGGAGACACAGAATCCGAAGCAGGCTCCAGGCTCTGAGCTGTCAGCACAGAGTCTGATTTGGGGCTTGAACCCACAAACCATGAGTTCATGACCTGAGCTGAAGTCAGACACTTAACTGGCTGAGCCACCCAGGCACCGCTCCAAGACTCCTTATAGGGCTTCTCGTAGAGCTGAGATTGGTCTAAAATGCAATTCTTGGCACAGAGGAACTGTATTTTTAAACCACGAAGATTACAGGGGCGCCTGGGTGCCTAGTTTAGTTAAGCAGCTGACTCTTTTTTTTTTTTTTAAATGTTTATTTATTTTTGAGACAGAGAGAGACAGAGCGTGAGTGGGGGAGGGGCGGAGAGAGAGGGAGACACAGGATCCGAAGCAGGCTCCAGGCTCTGAGCTCTCAGCACAGAGCCCGATGCGGGGCCTGAACCCACAAACCACGAGATCATGACCTGAGCTAGAGTCAGACGCTTAACCGACTGAGCCACCCATGTGTCCCAAGCGGCTGACTCTTAATTTGGGCTCAGGTTGTGATCTGATGGTTTGTGAGATCGAGCCCAGAGTTGGCCTTAGGATTCTCTCTCTCCCTTTCTTTGTCCCTCCCCTGCTCTCCCTTGCATTCTCTCCTCTCTCTCACAAACATTAAAATAAATAAATAAAACATGAAGATTATAACCTCTATAGAGCACAATTCTAAATCCTCGATTATATTTTATTTTAGTTTTTAATTTTATATATTTGTTATTTCAAGTAATCTCTCCACCCAAAGTGGGGCTCGAATTCACAACCCCGAGATCAAGAGCTGCGTGCTCCACCAACCGAGCCAGCCAGGTGCGCCATAACTCCTCAGTTTTCCAATACATCTGTTCTTCTTACCCCAGCAATCGGCCCCTGGGAATTTATCGTGCAGTTCTGCGCCCATGTGTGTGAGATAACTGATACACAAAGGCATTATTCCAGCATTCCCTGTGTAGCCAGAGATGAAAGACAATGTAAGAGCCCAGCAGTAGGACGCTGTAAATAAATCGTGGTGCAGCCTCACAGAGGGGTTTTATGCAGCCACTAAAAAGAGCTAATAGAGGGGTGTCTGGGTGGCTCAGTTGGTTAAGCAGCTGACTCTTGACTTTGGCTCAGGTCATGATCTCGCAGTTCCTTAGATCGAGCCCTATGTCGGGCTCTGTACTGACAGCTTGGAGCCTGCTTGGGATTCCCTCTCTCTGCCCTTCCCCTGCTCACTCGCTTTGTCTCTTCCCCTCTCTCTCTCTCACAATAAATAAATAAACATTTAAAAAATAAAACATTCTCTCTCTTCTCTCTCTCCCCCTGCTTGTTCTCTTTCTCTCACAAAATAAGTAAATAAACATTAAAAAAAAAAAAAAAAGGTGGGGCAGCACGTGGGTGGCTTAGTCAGTTAAGCATCTGACTCTTGATTTTGGTTCAGGTCATGATCTCACAGTTTGTGAGTTCAAGCCCAGCATCATACTCTGTGCTGACAGTGCAGAGCCTGCTTGAAATTCTCTCTCTCTTCTCCTCCCCTCCCCCCACCTACCCCTGCTTTGCTCTCTCTCTGTCAAAATAAAATAAACATAAAAAAAAAGTAAAACGTGTTCACACAAAAACTTAAAAAAACAACAACAATAGAGAACAGTCTTCAAGGTTCCGTGAAAAAAAAGCATGATACAAAACTGTATTTGTATTACCATTTGTATTAAAAGAAAAATCTTTCTAGGTGGATGTTTGTATGCGCATAGAATCTGGTGGTGGTGGTGTTATTCAAGAGGGGACTGGAAGATAAGAGAAAGTTTTTTTAAAGCATCAAAGTAAGCAGTATAGGGGCACCTGGGTGGCTCAGTCGGTTAAGCGTCCAACTCTTGATTTCGGCTCCGGTCATTATCTTACGGTTTGTGAGTTTGAGCCCCACATTGGGCTCTGTGCTGGTAGTGTGGAGCCTGCTTGAGAGCCTCTCTCTCTCTCTCTCTCTCTCTCTCTCTCTCTCTCTCTCTCTTCTCTCCCTCTCTCTTTCTGTCCCTCCCCTTCTCACTAGCTTCCCCTCCCAAAATAAACATTTTTTTTAAAAAGGAGTATATGGCTAAACAGGGAACATGTCCACAAAGGTTTGTAGTCAGGCTTTACAAAGGGGAGCTTATGGAAGTAACATAAGTGCTGTAAGTAGCCCTGAGTGTTTTGGCCTGCTGAAATCATAGTGTTAGTTCTCTCATGTCTACCTACTTAAACCCCACCCCCCGCCCCGTTCCTTTGGATACTTTCATCTATAATTCTTTACTGGTCAGAATCGCACATCGATGACCACGGGAGTAGCTGTTCCTAAGTGTTCATTCTGGTTAAAGGGTGCTTTGTAGTTGACAAAACCCACACCCTGGTCCTTGTTCCTGCAGGTGCACAAACTGGAGCCTGAGGCGTGGAAACATGTGGAAGCCATATATATAGACATTGCAGATCGAAGCCAAGTACTTAGCAAGGTAGGAACTGGTTAGCAATGTGGGCGATGTGGCCTTTGAGGTGCAGGAATGACTCCCAAGTGTCAGACCCCAGGGAACCGTACCCAACTTGGCTCAAAGGGAAGTTCTCTCTCGGCTATTGTTTATTTTATTTTTTAAATTAGTGTTAAGAATTCTCCTGTCTTGACTTGGGCATCCACCCGGAAGAAAGTGGCCCGGATGTATGTGTCCCATTTGGCCTCTGAGAATTCTCACTGGCCATCGTCAGTCCTGAGGATAATTTGCTCAGCTGAAATGACACTTAGCCTGAAACTAGTTCTCAAATTCATTTTTCCAAACCCAGTAATTCAAAAACATTTATTGCCTGCCCGTTACATTTGGAAGACTATGTTCTCTGGGTTCCAGCAGAATATATGAAAAGACAAATGCGCTTCCCTCAAGAAGTTGGTGTTGGCTTGTCAGAACACACATGGCAGCACCTGCCTAGAAAAGGACAGCCACTGCTACACCATGAACTTGGAACGAGCAGGGACCAGGTCTGTCCGGCTCAGTGCTGTGCTCCCAGGGAGTATTTGTATAGGGAAGGAAAGCTGAGTTTCTTCCTTCCTCATTCACTGCTCTTCCTATTTGTCAGGGAGATATTGGGAGCAGGGTGGAGGAATTTGGCTCTCTGCCCACTGATGGGAAGTAAGCATTTGCTTTCCATATCCCTGGGCTATGATACCCCTTTCCTGGAGTATCTCTGTGCTTCAGATATTTTGATCTATATGTGTCCAAAAAGACCTGAAAACCATCCTATGCTTCCTTGCATAATATCCTCACTTCCACCCTCAAAAGTTAGCAGATATTTCCGAAAACTTTTTATTGAAGTATAGCGTACGGCGAAGTTAATATATCCTAAGTGTATGGCTTAACAGATTTTCTCAAACTGAGCATACTCAAATAGTTCTCAAACAAATGATACCAAAGACTATGGCTCTCTGAGCATTTTGTCAACTCTGGTGGTTTTGTGTGCGTGGAGAGCAGCAGAGGTGGGGAAGATTTGATTGATTAACGTATTTCTTTTTATTTAAGCACAGTTGACACAAAAGGTTGATTTTTTTTAAGCTCACATAAATAATTTTCGCTTTGGGAAATACTTTGTGACTCGTGTGTGTCTGCGTGTGATTTGTTTTCTTCGGTATTTTTGTTAGGTAGCTCTTGTGGTAAGTTTGCTTTTCTTAAGCCCCTATTAGCCGGTGCAGAAGAACAGCCACATTTTAAACTTCTCTTACGGTTAATTCACACATGGCATTGACTGCATTATAAATAAGTGAAGTGAGACTAACAACGGTCTAGAAGAGCGTGGGTTCTATACAGTGAACATTTCCAGTAATGATTTTATTAAAACAAGTCAGTTCAGAAAAACAGAGCCAGAGGGAGATTGGAGGAGACTTCAGGCTCGACAAGCAGTTCTCATATGTGGCCGGGTTTTGGAATCACCTGCAGAGGTTTAAAAAAAAAAAAAAAAATCAATGCTGCCCTTACCTGCAGATATTCTGATTCGCTGGGTTTTAGGTGGAATGGCCCCAGAATCTGTATCTTGAAAAAACTTTCCGTGGTATTTTGGATGCTTATCACAGGTCGAATATCTGTCTTAAACTGGAAATATGTGCCCGCTCAGATAATACTTGACACTTTCATACACATAACATTGTAAACAGACTGTGGCAGAGAAAACCACACAGAGCTCTCCTCAGAGGCAAATGTAAACGGTTCTATATCTTGTTTATAAAATTTTCCTGTGTTTTCTATACACCAGCAGCTTTGACTGGTGTATGAAATATACTCTGATGGAAAAACCTAATCTCCGTTTCTCTCTCTCTGTCTCCCTCCCTCCTCCCCTCTATTTCTCCCTTCCTTCTCCAACTCCGATTCTACAACTGCTCTCAGGATTACAAGGCGGAGGAAGACCCAGCAAAATTTAAATCTATCAAAACAGGCCGAGGACCCTTGGGCCCGAATTGGAAGGTGCAGTTCACATCTTCACCACCAGGGGGCAGGGCATAGCACGGGCAGACCGCTACCATTGAGGAGGGGAATGGCAAGGGTGGGCTGAGGGAGGGGAGAGCCAGAGGTCTGCCCTCTTAGTTACCTGTCTGCCTGTATGTGTTTCTAATACAGCAAGAACTTGTAAACCAGAAAGACTGCCCATACATGTGTGCATACAAACTGGTTACTGTCAAGTTTAAGTGGTGGGGCCTGCAGAACAAAGTAGAAAACTTTATACATAAGGTAAGTGACCAGGGTAAGGCCTTTCCCCTGTGTGTGTTGTGGGGGGAGAGTGTTTGGGCCAACAAGATAAGTGACTTGTATCCTCTGGTGGCTGACATTAGAATATTTCGGTTTGATTTCCAGACCCCCACTTCCCCTTTCACTTATCTGTCTTACAGTTGAATGCTGCTTGTCCAGGGGGGACCACATGTTACAGGGAAGGAAACTCAAGCACAAAAAGGGAAACAGGAAGGGGTTTGCTGTGACTGAGCTGCAAATAAAACTCAGTCTTTCTCTTTGCCCTAAGCCACAAGGCAAGAGGCCCCATGAGCTAACTTCTCCAGCACCCTCAGCTCCTGAACTGGACAGACCTGAGGCGTTTTTATAGCCTTTTCTCTGATGTGTTGGAGCCTCGCTCTTGGGCCACATTTCACAGCTGCTGGCCAGTTTTAACCCGGCCTTAGGCTTTCGAGACAAGAAGGGACACTTGGCACAGTTGTTTTGGGCCCTCAGCCGAACCGTGAGCACGTGGGCTGCCTGTCTTGGCAGCATTTGGGGCACAGGGCAAGGCCGTGAGGGGGCTTCCTCCTACTCCAAACGTTACCTGTCGTCAAATGAGGGCAGAAGTCACTGACTTTGGGGACCCGAGGGCTCACCCGTGTAAGCCAGCCAGCCCCCCTCCTCCCCGGGCCCCTCCCTCCCCAACATGGGGTTGTTGACACGGAGGTCATGGGAGGGGAGCTGCGGCAGGGGCCGCTGCCTTCTGGTTCCTTCTAACTAGGTTCCCTCCTTTCTGTAGCAAGAAAGGCGTCTGTTTACAAACTTCCACAGGCAGCTGTTCTGTTGGCTCGATAAGTGGGTTGACCTGACCATGGACGACATCCGAAGGATGGAAGAAGAGACGAAGAGACAGCTGGATGAGGTGGGTGGGCGCCTGGAAGAGCCCGGCAGGAGACGGTGCCGCGGGGCAGGTCCGCGGGCGCCGCCTGGGGCTCTGGGAACGCGTCGCTCGGCGAGTGAGGCGTAGCTGGAAGGGGACAGCGAGCCGAGGCCGGCAGGGCGTTCTTCAGACCTGCACGGGTTGGGGAGCCGTGCTGGGCTGCCGACTCGGGGTGCCCCTGGGCGGAGGCAGGCTGGCCGCAGCGGGAGCACCACGCCGCCCCCCCGGAGGAGGCGGCGGCACGCACACGCAACGCACTACTCGACCGGGTAGTTTTGAGCTATTTGTAGAGTTTGGAGCCTTGGCTTCTTCTGGGGAAGCGGGGCTTGGCGTGGACCCAAGGTGCGGGAGGCCCACCACCCCTCCGGCCTCATTTGGGGGTGCCTCTCCCGCGGCTCGTGCCGAGGAGGCGTCGGTAAAGAGCGCTCACGCACTGGCTGTGTGTGAGGCACCGTTCCCAGGGCCCTCAGATAGCGGCCTCCCGTGATCCCCACGATACGGGTGCGCACCCGCCACTGTATTGCCACCTCGGATGAGGCTCCGGAGGCCAGCCCCGTGCCCGTGGTCACATGGCCTGCAGGTATGACGGGCAGCGTCAGGGCCACAGCTCACTTGGCTGCTTGTCCTCCCTTAAATGCCATTTGAGGCCTTCCTGCCCTGTCGGGGCTAAAAATAAGGCAGGAAGCTGTTTCATCACCGCGGTCTGTCTTTCCCTCCTGGCCCCGGGGTGGGGGGGGTGGGGGTGGGGTTGGCGCAGAGGCAGGTGTCGTGCAGATGGGGCCTTGCCCAGCCTCGCCCAGCTTCCCCAGACCCAGGCCTGGGTGCCCGTGGCGCCCCCGCTTCATGGTGCTGGTGGTGGGTAAGACCTTCCTTGGCTCCTGTTGAAGGCAGATGTTCTGCTTATTCATCCAGCTACGATGGCGGGGAAGTGGCAGGATCTGGGACACGATTCCAAAGGATCTTCAAGGAAGTGGTAGATTTTTAACCTCCGGGACCCTGGTGGTTCTGACTCTATGAGAGAGAGGCCTGTTTCGGTCACCCTAGTCCCAACAAAAGAAAGGGAAAAAGTTACCAAAGGAGCCTGACGACTTCAGGGATTAGCCTGGAGCCTCTGCCGCCCACAGCCTGACAAAGGCCAGCGAAAGTATGCCGGCGGGTAGAAGCGCGAATGGGCAGCCCTTCACTCTGTGGGTAGAATTTGAATTCTTGGAGCTGGAGGAACTCTCCAGAGGAGGAGCTCCTGGATCCAAAGTTTGAGTCCTCATCATTAGGGAGGTTTTTTCTGTGTGTTTTTTTTTTAATGTTTGTTTATTTTTGGGAAAGAGAGACAGAGTGTGAGCACAGGAGGGGCAGAGAGAGAGAGAGACATAGATTCTGAAGCAGGCTTCAGACTCTGAGCTGTCAGCAAAGAGCCCGACATGGGGCTTGAACTCATGAGCCGTGAGGTCATGATCTGAGCCAAGTCAGCCGTTTAACCAACTGAGCCATTCAGGCGCCCCCAGGGAGTTCTTTTTTTAATCCCCACCTCTCTCTGTGGGTTTCTCCATTCTGTGGAGAATTGTGCCAAAACCTTAGAAGATCAGTATCCTCCAGGATAACTGCAAATTCAGGAAACTCATTTTAGAAATGGAATTTTAAATAGTTTGTAGTAGAAGAAAAAGGCAAAACCAAGTCCGGGTCATGGTGGGACATCTTTTGACCTCATTAGCAACTGTACTGGACCTTTGTGTGCTAACTGTACCTCTGGCGTGCTTCTGTCTTCTCTCGTTTTTTCCTCCTTCTAAAAATATTTTTATCAACGTTTTATTTACACAGTTGTATTTATTTAGAAAAACACCTTATTGGGGTATGATTGACATACAGAAAGCTGCACATATTTAATGTATACATCTTTTTTTTTTAGTTTTTAAATGTTTATTTACTTTTGAAGGAAAAAGAGACAGAACATGAACAGGGGAGGAGCAGAGAGAGAGGGAGTCACAGAATCCGAAACGGGCTCCAGGCTCTGAGCTGTCAGCACAGAGCCCGGCGTGGGGCTTGAACTCACGAACAGTGAGATCATGACCAGAGCTGAAGTCGGTCATTTAACTGACTGAGCCCCCCAGGCGCCCCGTTAATGTATACACATCTTGATGAGTTTCAGATAAGTATACACCTGTGAAGCCATCATGACAGTCTTTGCTATGAACAAAAGCATCACCTCCGAAAGCATTTTTATAGTTTGCAAACTTGGATGGAGTCCCAGGCTTCTGAGGAAGCAGCTGTCCTCCTTTGCCCTGCCCCTGAGCCCTGGTCCTGAGCCCTGCCCCTGAGCCCTGCCCCTGGGTCCTGCCCCTGAGCCCTGCCCCTGAGCCCTGCCCTTGGGTCCTGCCCCTGAGTCCTGCCCTGAGCCCTGCCCCTAGGTCCTGCCCCTGAGTCCTGCCCCTGAGCCCTGCCCCTGGGTCCTGCCCCTGAACCCTGCCCCTGGGTCCCGCCCCTGGGCCCCGCCCCTGGGTCCCGCCCCTCGGTCCCGGCCCCTGGGTCCCGGCCCTGGGGCCCGGCCCCTGGGTCCCGCCCCTGAGTCCCGCCCCTGAGTCCCGCCCCTGAGTCCCGCCCCTGAGTCCTGGCCCCTGGGTCCTGCCCCTGAGTCCTGGCCCCTGGGTCCTGCCCCTGAGTCCCGCCCCTGAGTCCTGGCCCCCACACGTGGCCCCTTGCCGTTCTTAGGGTTGTTTCTTTTAATTACCTCCATATTTCCAAATAATATGCTGATGCACTTAATTCTCAGTCTCCCAACTCTAGACATTAATGGTCAATTTTTCCTATGGAAGGTTTAGCTCCTGTACTCCACCCATCACTCACTCTTTTCTCCCTCGTCCAATGTCACAATTTTGGGTTAATTCATGATTTGGTGTTTATATTATTACAGCTTAGTCGTTCTTTTCCCCATCTGAGCATTTTGGTCTGCTCCTGATTGTCGTTCCTCTCTTGGAAAATTTTTTGTTTTTTTAATAAGTTTGAAACTGGTATGTTAACAAACTGGAATTTAAATAAAAATTTGGGGAGGAAAAGATGAGAAGTTAGTAATTGCCTCCCTTCCTTGGGTTAGCTTAGTTTTATGTATCTGTGTCATTAAGGTTTGTGTTTGAATCTTTCCATGGATGATCCCATCTCGTTGTGTGGCACGTGCCGCCTTGATAACGCAGGTGATGTCCCTCCGTCTTATTTGATTTTGTTCCCCCCTCAATGGACACTCTGATCTAAAGATCTCCTCAGTTCTGTAAAATGTGTTTATATATCTGTTTCATAATTTTCTCCCCTCTGTTTCCTTTATTTTTTTTTCTGGAATTTTTATTAGGAGTCAGAAATCAGACCTCATGAAGTGACCCAATTTTCTCATGTTTTCTCTCCTTTTTTGTCTGCCTTCTGGAAGATATTTTCCAGCATTTGCCTCTCTCTCATCTATTGATTTTAAAAACATTTTCAAGCACTTCTTGCGCTGTGTTCTTTTCCTTAAGTACTTTTTCTATTTTTCTCTGTACGTTATCTTCCTTTTCTAAGGCTTTCGCTTTTTGTTTTTTGTGTTTGGTTCTCAAGGTTTCTCTGCCCCCTGTGTATTCTTTGTTTCTGGGGAGCACCTTTCTCCTGTCGGACTCTGTGATTCACGTTAGTGGCTTTCCTTAAATGACTAGTGGTCCTTGGCCATTCACTCACATCTAAGAGTGAGCAGCCATGGGACTGCTTTTTTTGTTTTTTTAATGTGTATTTAGTTTTGAGAGAGACAGAGTGCAAGTGGGGGAGGGCCAGAGAGAGAGGGAGACACAGAATGAGAAGCAGGCGCCAGGCTCTGAGCTGTCATCACAGAACCCGACGCGGGGCTCGAACCCACAGACCGTGAGATCATGACCGGAGCCAAAGTCAGATGCTCAACTGACTGAGCCACCCAGGCGCCCCGGGACTGCTTTAACTTAATCCCCTGGTGTTCCCTTGGGGGGCCGTGCTCGCCGAGCCCTTCACCGTTGCTATGATGTGACAGGAAGGGAGGTGATTGCTTGGCGTGAGTACTCAGGGAGGGAATACCAGGGCCAAACTGGTTTTTTTTCAATTCTCATTTTCAAACAAGTCACCCGTTTTCCACCCTAGCTGCACACCCACTCTCTGAGGTACTTGGTGCTTCCAGCTCCTGAGCCTCTGGCAAACCCGCAGCACAAGTAGGTCTGTTCCTCCTCCTCAGCTCCCCTCCCCGTGGACACTGAGGGCCAGTCCTGCTGCTCTGCAAGTCAGTCACTACTCGTCCATCCATGTTTCATCTTCCAGAATGTTGTTGCCATCCCTTCTCTGCTGTTGGCTCCTCTGTATTTGTGGTCTTCATGGCTTTACATCTTTTGCTTATTCTTTTACTGTCATCGCAATAGAGTTTGGGGGAGGAACAGCAACAAATGCGTGTTGCAACCTGCCATGGTTAACTGTAAATTTGCTATAGGAATTATGACCCTTATTCTCTGAATAATGCATAGCAGTCTAATGTGGGTGGATTTTCTCGGTGATTATGAGGGGTCACTATAAGGCCGCAGTCACCAGTACTGTAACTCTGGTTCCCATGGGAGGGCAGACTGAACCATTCTTGGGCTACGTTCAAGGATTTGAGAAACAAGAGTTCAAGAGATTAATCCTTTGCCCTAAAAAGAAACATGTCAGGATATGTGTGTGCCTGTCGGAGAGTGGTGTCTGTTCGTCTGTCTCCCCGCTCCTTTCTTCTTTCCCTTTCTTCTTCCCTCTCTTTTTCTCCCCCTCCGTTGCTCTCTTAAGAGACTCATAGTCTCAAAACTGGAAGAAGGCTCCTTAAAAAGCTCACTTAGTTCAATTACATGTCCAATGCTTGAGTCCTTTCTGCAGCTTCCCCACCAGCCTGTGCTTGGTCGCTCTCGATAATGGGGAACTCACTATCCAATGAATATGGTAGCAATAAAAAATATTTTTATTTCTTTTATAGAAGCTAACATTTT